ACTAAATTTTCCATTCTACTTTAGTCACTTAACCACACCTTTGACCACTTGGAGGAGTCTCACTCACAACCTCCATAAGTCCTATTTTGGATTGGGCTTGCTAGCCCAGAGAATGGCATCTTCACCACTCAACCTTTGCACTTGGTCCAAGTGCTTCATGTATCTTATCCCATGACCGACACCCCAAGGTACCACCGACGCATCAGCCCGTTACGCTAAGGCCATGCCCATTCACCTTGGTCACACTGGTGGTTTAACCCCACCTACACCATAGTCCCGTCTAAGACTGGGTCATCTGTCCATGAGTGATCATCCCAGATCCACTCCTTAGCATCCTTAGGATGCCCATAGACATGGGGAATAGCCTTCCCTAATATCCCCTTTCACGTCCCCACCAAGTCCCTTTCTGCCCATGGCCGTGTTCGCCAACACTGCCACTAGATCAAGGCCCACAGGCCTGACCACTAAATCCCACGGTCCTCTGGGACTTCCTCACCACACGACTGTATCCTTGGTCATTACACCAGAGGACTACTCCTCTTCCTTTCCACATTTTAGGCCTTCGGGACAACATTTCGGAACACCATGGCCTTACACAAGCCTCGTGGGTACTCTCCCTGCCTTCCACCTTTGGGTGCTCTAGCCATGGGCTTAGAGTGAGGTTCCGTTGAGCCACGCCTGGTATCCAAGTAGGTAGTGCCACCCACACTTAGACTGGGAGCATCGGCTAGTCGATCTCCCGGGGGAACTAGAGCCTGCTCTTGAACACTTCACCAAGCTACCCCGCTTGTCGGTCCATGTTCACTTTAGTCTTGGACTTCCTAGTGGGCAGCTCATCACCCAACACTGGGTACAGCCTTCCTGGGCCAAACTGGCCTTTCCTGGCCAAACTAGCTCCACTACAGTCCTCCCCCTTACTATACTTTTGGAGTACACCAAACCCCCCAAGGTCTGGGAGACGAACACTTTGGGCTTTCACCCTCTCAGACTCGAACTCAGACTCAGACTCAGACTCGGGCTTGGGCTCGGTCTCGGCCTCGACCTTGGTCTCGATCTCGGTCCCGGTCTCGGTCTCGGTCTCGATTTCGACTTCGGACTCCATCTCGGATCCATCTCAAACTCCATCTCGGACTCCATCTCGGGTCCATCTCGAACTCCATCTCGGACTCCATCTCGGACTCAATCTCGGATCCATCTCAGGTCCACCTTGGACTCCACCTCGGACTCCATCTCGGACTCCATCTTGGACTCCATCTCGGGTCCATCTCAAACTCCATCTCGGGTCCGTCTCGGACTCAACCTTGGGTCCATCTCGGGTCCATCTCGGGTCCACCTTAGACTCCACCCTGGGGTCCTTCTCGGACTCCACTTCGGACTCCACTTTGGACTCCAACTCGGGTCCATCTCGGACTCCATCTCAAACTCCATCTTGGTCCATCTTGGACTCCATCTCGGACACTTCCACGTGTCATGTGTTGGTCCTTTTGGGTCCCTTTTTAGAGCCTCGCTTATTGCTCGCTTCGTGCTCATTCCTCGACCACTTTGTTGGGAGTTCCACTCCCGCTCTCGACCTTTCAAGTCGGAGCTTTTAGTCTAAACATGTTACACTCGTTTGGCTTTCGCTTCAGCCACTACCACATGGCACCCTTCCAGCTCCACTTTGGGGCCTAGGGATTTTGTGTCTCACAGCCATCTCCTTCTTCTCCCCCTTAGGACATGGTTGATGTACTTTGGAGAGCTTGTTGAATTGGAGTGCTAGAGTCGAAGTTGGGTATACAGTAAAGAAACCACTATATTCCTTGATAAGACTTAAAATATACTGATTTTTCCCATCATATATGCCCAAATAAAAGGAAATTTACCATGTTTGGAGAGTTGTTCTTTAAACCATTTAAGACTTGCTGTCCTTCAGGCCATTATGAGATTGTCAACATAAACACACACGACAATAAGTGAGCCATCATGAAAACAATAATGTAGATTCCAATCTGCTTCTACATGAGAAAAACTATAGTTAGAAAAAACTTGTGCAAAGTATTATACCAAATCCTTAGTGATTGTTTTAATCCATAAATGAGTTTATAAACTTCCTTTAGATTTGGAGGCTGTTGCTCATACACCAGTTCCTCCAATTGGCCATTGAGAAATGCATTCCTGACATCCATTTGCTCAATCTCAAGGTCTAAATGATTAGCAATTGCAAGAATAAACAAATAGAAACCATCTTAACTATGGGTGAGAAATTCTCACTATAATCAATTCCATGTGTATCCTTTTGTGACTAACCATACTTTATACCAATTAATCTCACCTGTCTCCTTATATTTTATTTTGTGAACCCACTTACATTGTATGATTGAAACTTTGCAAGGAACCTCCTATGATGAAATGAGTGTCCAAGAACCACTCTCCAATTGAGCATGATATTCATCTTGCATTGCTTCTCGCCAATGAAAATGTTGCAATCCAAAGTGTGCTTCATCTAAATTTGTTGGCTCGTGAATGACTTGTGTGGCTTGTGCATAATAATGTAGAATGTGGGATGTAGGTTTCCAAGGTTTGAGAGAATGTCTTGGTAGTGAACTAGCATTTGGAGCATCCAAAGATTCACCATTCTCTCACTCTAATAAGCCACTTTCTCTAGATCTTCATGAATAATATCCAATCACTAGAATTCTGAAGTGAAGTACCTTGTTTTTAGAGTTTAGAGCCATTATCATCCATAGCTAGAGAAAAAACTTCTTGAGGTAGTAGTGGATCCTCAGGTGGTGGTTCAAGAGGTAGTGGTAGTGGTGGTTCCATTGAAGAAGCCTCTGGAGTTGATACCACTTCCTCATCACTATTATTTCCATGTGCATTGATTAGAATTGAATGTAAAAAATACCTGGTGTCTTTCTTATTACTAATTGATGAAATAGATTACACTGGTACATCTTCTCGAAAGAAAATAGTACACCTAACCAGCACCTTCTTTTGACTAAAAATCCAAACCCAAGCCACCTCTAGTATTCTCACTATAGCCAAGCATCATGCATCTCATTGAGTGATCTTCCCATTTATTTTGTCTTTCCTCAACTGAAATGTATGCTACACACTCAAACACACATAAGTATGTAGTAGATGGTTTCGAACCTATCTAAATTTTGTATAACATTTTTATCCAGTATTGCTTTTGTAGGCAGAATATTTTGCACATGAACTGTAATATTCACAACCTTGGCCCAAAAGAATACTGAAACATTTTGATCTGGCTGCATTAAGGACTATTAACATCTTTCGCTCCACGACCCCATTTTGACCATATTCATATGGTGTAGAGATTTGGAGGAAGATACCACATGATGCAAGGATTGTCCAGAATTCTCATGAGAGAAGTTCCCATCCTCCATCGACTCTGAGTGTGCGGATTATCATTGCATATTTATTTTCTAACTCTCAAATCCATTCCAGAAACTTATGAGGCACCTCAAATTTCTGTCATAAGAAATATAATGACTTAGATCGTCCACAATTAGTAGGAAAGAACAAACACCATTGAGTGACTTTACTGGTGATGCTCCCCAAATGTCGACATAAACTAAATCAAAAACATTTTACCTCAAGTAGACACTTTTTTTGAAGGTGGCTTTTTTTTCATCTTAACTTGAAGATATACCTCACATGTCATACTGTCGCTAATATGCTTGTTTTTGCTCCATTCACACCCCATGACCACTCCCAATACCTTCTTCTTAGAGAACTTGGCTTCCATGATGGAAAACCATCGAAATGCATTATCATGAGAAAGAAGAAACTTCCCTTCTTCCTTTCCCCTCAGCCTGAGCCCTTACTGTCTAGTCTATTCTTGCCTTGAAGGAGAAACATTCAGATCCATATTGGAAAAGCCAGAGCCCGAGAAAAGAGAATCTTTTGATTTCTCTGATACTATGATGAAACAAGTGTAAAGGAAAAGTACTGGGCTTGTATTGATACTCCACTTCTTGATTTATAGTTCCTTTGATTGCACCTTGATCTCTCCTTGGTTCCAACAATCCACTTAGTAGGCCCAGTGGGCGACAGTTCCAGAACCCCAGCCTGTATCTGGTTACAGATGCTCAACTTTTGGAACCATGGTATTGCTCATGCTCTTGCTTTCGTTTTTCATAGTGTACTTTTCCTTGCACAGGGTGACACCCTGCTCAAAAGAATAGTGAGCAATGGAAGCACATAGGAGGTAAGGAGCGATCCCGCTTTGCCCTATAGTTGCTCACGTGAAAGTGTGACGTGAAATTCACTGGCAAAAGTTTTCCTTTAGCAAGGACACCGGGATTCCTTCCGGGAAAACCAGGCAATGCCTTCCCTGCGAACAACACCTTTCGGAATCCTCACCTCCGCGTTCCAACAACCTTCTCCTTTTCGTCCTTCAGAGTTTTTAGCAAGATGCCGAACTTCGGTATTTTCTGCATGCTTATTTTGTCTCAAAGCCGGAACTTATTCTGAAACTCAGGTATCCAATCGCAGCACTCGTGATTTGAACCCCAAAGTTATTGAATCTCCTCGTTGCTTCCAGTCATCAGCTTGGAATTTACCAGACAATAGTTCCCTTATCCATCCCGCTGCAAAGCAGCTTGGACTGGAGAGCACCCTGGTCTCGCTGGCCTCAATGGCCCAGCGAATCATTTCCAAAACGAAGCGGCTAATCACCACCCTTCCAGTGAAGTCCCCAACTCCGACCTGGGCCGATAGACGGGCACCAAGTTCCTCTCCTCGCCCCTCTCCGCTCACAGGCAATTGTCATCGGTGGCAATGCTGGAGGGAGAAAACCCCCAAGAAATGGTGGCATGATCTCAGTGATCCCACAATCTTGTAAACAAGGGGATTGTTTTCCTCCGCTGCTATTCTCACCCCTCACGCCCGGATCTCGTTGAGCATCTCTCGAGCGAAGGAAGGTGAAAAGGTTGCGAGGATGGCGATATGGAGAGGACGATCCTCATCCAGAACTGGATCAAGGAATATGCTAATTTTAAATTGATTCAATCTGTTATAATAAATGTAAATTGTTTTCCACGGGATTAACGACCGAGCAAAAATGAGCCTCAAGAAACAATCCTGCTGTGGGAAAAACCAACCTCTTTTTTTTTTACTTTACGAGGAGGATGCGTGCTTCGAAACCCATTCCACCAAGGTCCCCACAGCGAATCCAGTCGCCATTTTCTTCTTCTCGTTCCACACGGGTCCGGCGATGTCGAGATGAGCCCAAGGAATTTTCTCATCGACAAACTATCCATCCATCAAGAATGGAAGAGATTAGAAGTTCTTCCACAAGAACAAAACGAAAGAAGTACCTGTTTCAAGAAGAGCGACGCCGTTATGGATCCGCCAGGACGTCCACCCGTGTTCACCATGTCCGCGATTCCCGACTTCATCATCTCCCAGTAGTTTTCTTCCATTGGCATCCGCCATAGCTTCTCTCCGGCGGCGCTTGACGCTTGGGACAGTTCCTCCGCGAGCTCGTCGCTGGGAGTAAACATGCCTGTTTTGCCATGGAGTTAGAAAAACAACTCTAGGAGAGGACGTTACCTCCAATCTCGTTGCCCAACGCGATAATGCACGCTCCTGTCAAGGTTGCCAAATCCACGATCTGTTTTTGCAAAGAAGTTTAGCTCAGATACTTGGTAGCTGCAAAAAAGTAGCTTTTACCTTGTCAACCTTGAGGTTGCAAGCATATACAAGCGCGTCCGCCAACGTTAGCCGGCCTTCGGCATCAGTGTTGTTTACCTGAAACAACACAATTAAACCATTTGTGTGTTCTCAAAATCTTCGCACCTCAATCGTTTTCCCATTTGAAGCAGTGAGGATGTCGCCGGGTCTCATGCCCGCACCACTGATCATGTTTTCGCATGCCGCAACTATGAAATGGACCTGCAAGCATTCCCTCAGCACAATTATACGTAGCGAACGTGTGGAGAGTTACCTCCACTCCGAGAGGCTGAATAGCTCCAAGAGCTTTTGCTGCACCCAAGGCAGCTGCTGCGCCACCCATGTCAAACTTCATGAGCTCTATGCTCGAGCCTTGGATCTTCAAATTGTAGCCACCACTAGTTTAGCAAAAACGTTATAGCAAACCACAATAACATGGAAGCAATGAAAGATACCTGTCAAATGTAAGTCCCTTGCCAATAATTGCCAGCTTCGTCTTGACATCCCCACTTGGTGGCTTGTACTGCAAATGGATGAACTTCGGAGGATTCACCGAAGCAGCAGCGACTCCAAGGTAAGATCCCATCTTCAGCTCCTTACACTCGGCTTCGTCAAGAATTTTGGCCGTGAAAACATCACTGTGAGAGGATGCTATACTTACAGCCTCCTCGGCGAGCGCACCTAGAATTTTCGACCAAAGGTTACGAAGGAAAGAGAGTTTTCCAAGTCTAGAACTTACTAGGCGTAAGAACATTGGCAGGTGCATTGACGAGCTGCCTTGCTGATATCACTCCAGTGCAAACTTTCACCAAGTTTTGGAGTTTTTTCTCTAGTTCCGGTGCCGACCCAAGGCCCAAAATCTCCACTCTCTTCAACTTAGGTGCCTTTGGCTCTGATTTGAACCTTGTATCCTCAAAAGATCCCAGAATCACTCCTGCAAACTTAAAACGTTAGAGCGATCACGAACAATAGTTCGCGATACCTGAGGTAATGCCGGACGCTCCAGCGTTTGAATCAACTCCTTCTTGATCCAAAGCCGAGAGAACGATACCAACAGAGCTAGCTTGTGCTGTCTTTGCAGCAGCTGCAATGGATTCCCCAACTCCCTTCCACGGTCTGGCCAGCGAGCTCTTCTCCAATTTGCCAAGCCCGACAAGGCCAATCCTCTTGAAGCCCTGCCCGGGGATCCGCACAAACGATGCCTGGCCGGATTTCCCAGTGAAATCCTCCTCCGCTGCGACATCGGCCAGGAGCCCGTTTAAATCCTTGTCGAGAATTCCAAATGCCTCATCGCTCATCCCGCCCTCGAACACGGCAATTGCGAGCAAATCCCCCTTCCACTGCGATACGTCCAGCTCCGAGACGCGCACTTCCAGCTAGAATCATCACAAAGAAGAAAAGAAAAAGAAATCCCGACAGTCAGCCAAGAGAGATCGAAAAACCTTCGCTCTACCTCTGGAATCGGCTGCTCCGATGCCTTGGTGAGGCCGACCGTGGCAAGATCAGCCGCTGGAGACGACGAATCGAGCACCGTGCGCGCGTTTCCCACCTTTGTGGACATATCGCGCGTCATGGCGGCGTAGCGGAGGCGAGGAGGAGGACGACGATTGGAAGCGCTGGCGCACAGACAGTGTGATGCGGCGCCTAGAACAGCGTCCGCGCCTAACCTCACAGAAACCCTAGCCAAAACGTAGGCCCGGCCCCAAGCACATAGAGTGGCCGCCATAGCCTATGTTATACTCGCCTTGGCTATATGACATGGTTCCCAGGGGAAAACGCCGACGTGGACATAAAAGTGCCGCTAGCGTGGCAAAACACAATCACTATGACATGATTAAAGTCCTGAAGAACACCGTCTCGTGTTTTCCGCCTGACACAAAGTTCATTTCGCCCATGCTAGGCAATTCTTCGTACGATCACCGCAGGCCTAGATCGATCCATTCTCTGTTAGCGAGCGCTAGAAGTGGAGAACCAAAAAATTCTTACTTCACGCTGCCAAAGTTTTGTCCCGCTCGCTCGAGATCGCAAGTTGCAAATCTGGCACAGTGCCAGAGATTTTAGTCATGAAATGAAACAGTGTGTGGCTCCAAGAAGAACTCTTACTGCTGGCCAGAGCTTTCCTCGATCGAATGCGACTGGATAATCAATCCACCAAAGTTTTAAGACGCTAGAGCGAGATGATCCAAAGGAGCAAAGGCGGTATCTAGTGACAAAGAGATACTTGCTTGGAGAAAAAAGACTCTTACTTCGAGGAACTCGCAGCGAGCGCTGATTGATGGACTGCTTTTTAAAAGCTCGCTAGCTAGTACTCGTACGTGGATATGTTCTTCCCGAGGAGGCTAGAAGCAAGGAAACAAACAGGGAATTAGGCAAAAGAAGAGCCTCAATCAGAGCCACCGACCATTCAGTGCATCAAAGAGCTGGCTGTGCGAAAGAAGACACTGGCCTGGTAGATCCGTTCGTAGTCCATTCCCATCGCCTCTCTCGCCTCGATTCTCGCTCGTTCTACCCCGTTTCTACACGAAATATCAATTGAATATTGCGCAATCGCCAAATCCCTGGAAAAAAAGCTCTAAGATCATGCTTGCCGGCGCCATTGGCACCTAGATCTAGCGCCAGCGCTCTCAACCTCGACGAGAAATCTCTCGCATTGTCCAGCGCCACTCCAAGAGCCCTAAAAATACAAACAAATAGATTCCCACTTTTAAAAATCAAACGTTCCTTCCTATTGGTGGCTCCCTTGTTGCTTGCCCGACGCGAAGCTTACACCGTTGCATGGAGATGCCGACGCCGATGCCAAAAGATTCTCGCCGGTCGATCCACTCCTGGCCGCTGCTGCCGCCTCCAATCTCCTCCACTTGGCCTCCCTCTTGTCCTCCACCACCTTGTGCTTGGCCTCCTCCTCCTCAAACCTCTTCTGGCACTCGCTAAACAGCTCGGGATCCATCTCTACCAGCATCTTGCGGACGTTGAGCGTCAAGTTGTGGACCGTCTGGTTCCAGTGGCTCCGGCTGTTCTTCTCCAGCGAGCTGAACACCAGCGGAAGAATCACTTGCCGGTTCTGCGCAACCAGGTTGACAATGTGATCGTTGTTCCAGAGAAACAGCGCTCTCTCGGCTACCTGTGCGAGAAAGAAAAACCAGTTTTTGTTAGCTTTCGATCCTGGCAGCGTGAACACTACTGACCTGGAAGTGAGAGCTGTTGAGGCAGCGCGCGAGCTGACGAAACAACGGGACCATACAGCGCTGGAACTCGGCGGCTTGAGTTCCTTCCAGGATCTCCTCCATCTCGCCCAGGAAGAGCACCTCTTTCTGGCTGTTGACAACGGGCCAGTATTTGAGAAGCCCCCGGATGACCGTGTCCGCCAGCTTCAGATCCTTCTCCACGAACTGCGTGATGCAGTACGAGAGCTGCTGGTGGTACTGCGACACGAACCTCGGCTTGTGCAGCGGGATGAGCGCCCGGACGAGGAAGAGCTTGTGTTCTTCCTTGAGCGGCAGCGCGAAGCCGTTGATGATGCTCCCCAGGATCTCGAGCAGCTCCGCGATGCCGTTGTGCCTCTCGGTCTCGAAGATGAACCGATAGAAGATGTTGTTGATGGCCTTCCGGATGAATGGCCGGTGGACCATGAACTTGCCGTAAATCCTGTGAAGGATGGTCTTGAGGTAGTCCCTCTCCCTGGGATCGTCCGAGTCGAACAGGTCCAGAAGCCTCAGGACGAAGGCGTGGTCGACGTATCTCTTGGCGATCTTGGCGTCCGTGTCAGTCGAAACCACGTAGCGCAGCAAAAACTCGTAGACGAGCTGCAAGTGTGGCCATGCAGGATCCATGATCGGCTCCTCCTCCTCTTGCTCCAAGCTCTCCGACGACCCCGACAAATCCCTCGCGGATGGCGGCAAAGATCGGTGGATGTTGGCTGTGACCATCTTCACAACCTCCTCCGACACCACCTCGTTGAGCTTCCCCGTCGTCCCCGAGGAGATGTAGTCGACGAGCTCCAGCAGCGTCTGGCGCTTCATCTCTTTCTCCTTTGGATTCTTGGACGAGTCCGTGAAGTCGAAGGTGATGGAGCAGAGCTTGAGCTTCCGGACGAGTAGCGCTTGGCGGTCGGAGCTGGGAACGTCCTTGAGCGACACTAGCGGATCTGAGAAAGAGGTGGGTTGTCCATTCAAGGAGCTCTGGAGCTCCAGAGGCTTCGCTTGCAAGCTCTGGTACTGCTGCTGCTGCTGCTGCTGCTGCTGTATCAAAGGGCCGGAGCTACTCCTATAAGCGGTGGCAGCAGTAGCGCTGGATTTCCCGGCCGCCGCGCCCGCGCGACCATTCTGATGAGCTACCCCATTGGATTTCCTATCCCCGGACGATTCATTGTCCACTTTGGTCGATGCCGAGAGCTTGGGAAACCAATACCGCCATTTCTTCTTCATCCCTGCGCAGGGCGAGCCTCACATCTAGCAATGTATCCTTTCCCTGCCGCAGATCCTTGCCCCAGCGGCGGCCTAAAACCCTCAAATTCCGGAGATCCACGCCGATCTTACCTCGCAGCCAGCGAATGCGCGGCATTCTCCATACCTCGCGAAGAACAGCCGGATCTGTGGCCGGCAGATCCAGCCCATGGGGAGGCGACCCCCGCCGATTCGTGGCCACAGTAGGGATTGCAGCCGCGGCAGCTCAATCGCGAGCGGATCTTCGCTGCTCGTCCCTCAAACCCTAGGCGCTATCTACCTATCCATCGCAGCCGCAAACAATACTCTAGCAATGAGATAGAATATATAAGTGATTATAGCCCCAAAGCTCTGGCAAAATAAATGAGAGGATTCTAGATCCTTGGAATCTCCCCCCACGAAAGAAGAGCTCTTCTTCCAATCTTGCTTTCGATCGTTCGTTCGTCATGCTACATTTCTCGATCCGGGAGGAATGCCAGCTCCAAGCGCGCAGGATCTCGCGGCGGCGGCGCGGCAGTGCGGCGGTGCCAGGGATCTCGCCTCCGCCCGACGCCTGCACGCTAGGGTTTGCTCCAGCGAGCACCGTGCGAGCCTCTTCCTCGCGAATCTGCTCATCGAGATGTACGGGCGATGCGGCGGCGTGGAGGACGCGCGCCAGTTGTTCCTCTCGCTGCCGGATCCCAATGTTTTCTCCTGGAATATCATGATCCAGTGCCTGATCCAGAATGGACTCGTCGAGGAGGCAGCGGGGACGTTTGATCAGATGCCGGTCAGGAGCATCGTCTCCTGGAATTCGATGATCGCGGCGAATGCTCACGCTGGAAACATGCGCCAGGCACTGGATCTCTTCGATCGGATGCCGCAGAAGGACATCGTCTCTTGGAACTCGATCATCTCTGGCTACGTCCAAAACGGAGAAATCTCGAAAGCGCTAGCTCTCTTCGATCGGATGCCCGAGCACGATGTTTTCTCTTGGTCAGCGGCGATCATAGCAAATGCCCAGATAGGGAATCTTGCGGCCGCTGTGATCATCTTCTCCACAATGGCGGAGTGGAATGTGATCGCCTGGAACTCCATGATCACCTTGTACGCGCAGAATGGATTCCTCCGTCACGCCAAGAGCTGCTTCGATTCGATGCCCGAGCGAGACATGGCTTCCTGGAATGCGATGCTGGCAGCATTTGCCCATGGCGGGATGATCCAAGAGGCGATCGATCTCTACCACCTGATGCCACGATGGGACACTCTCTCCTGGAACGTAATGATCTTCGTGTTCGCGGCGGCAGGAAAGATCCACAGAGCCAGGGAGATCTTCGACAGCCAGCGAGAGAGAAGCCCGAGCTCTTGGAACTCGATGATCGCGGCCTACGCGCAGATGGGCGATTTGGAAGAAGCTCGCAGGCTGCTGGAAGCGATGGCGCTGCCGGATCCTCTGTCCTGGGCACCACTGCTAGCTGCTTACGCACAGAAGGGAGAGATCGCGGAAGCAAAATCCCTGTTTGATCGGCTGGATCGCAACAAGAGCATCGTCTCCGCAAACTCGATGATCTCGGCCTACACGATCTCCGGCAAGATCGACGCGGCTGCCACGATCTTCGACCAGATGCCCCAGAGAAATACCGCTACTTGGAACGCGATGCTCGCGGCGTATGCCCAAAGCGGCGATGTCTCCATCACGACCAGATTCTTCCACTCCATGCCGGCTCGCAGTGTCGTCTCGTGGACCACCATGATCGCGGCAGTGAGCGAGAGCGGCGATCCAGGCCTGGCCAGGAAGATCTTCGACGGAATGTTGGATCGAAGCACTGTCTCCTGGAACTCGATGATCACGGGGTATGCCAGTAACGATCTCTCCGACCAAGCGATTGTGCTCTTCCAGCTGATGATCGCGGAAGGAGTCCAGCCCGATGAGATCACTTTCGTGGCTGCTCTAGCCGCTTGCGCCGACTCGCAAGACTTAGAACAAGGCCAGCGAATCCATAGCATGATCGCGGAGTACGATTCCAAGGCAACTTCCACCACCATCGCCACCAGCGTTTCTTCGTCTCTCATCGCCATGTATGGGAAGTGTGGCTGCCTCGAGACCGCTGCTCACGTCTTCCACAGCGTTGCTCGCAAGGATCTGGTCTGCTGGAACGCGATGATCGCGATTTACGGCCAAGCTGGTCACATCGTCCGGTCCCTCGAGACCTTTCACAGCCTACACCTGGAAGGAATGCTGCCGGATCAAGTCACGTTCGTCTGCGTTCTAGCTGATTGTAGCCACGCTGGTCTGCTCGAAGTTGGCTACCAGATCTTCTGCTCGATCACTGTGAGCTACGGACTATCCTTGCTCGGAGATCACTGCCGCTGCATGGTTGATCTCCTCGGACGCTCTGGCCGGCTGGAAGAGGCCGAGGAGTTGATACGTTCCATGCCATCCCAGGCGGGGAGCTCCGCCTGGACGAGCCTGCTTGCTTCTTGCCGGATCCATAGCGACGCACGGCGAGCCGCCAGAGCCGGGCGGTATGCTAAAGCACCAGTTTTGCTCACCAATATCCTCGTCGAAAGTCACTGATATTTTTTTTTTAGTTTTCCATAGATCATAGGCGAGAAGTATCGATGAAGAACACGAAACAATATCCTCCGCGTAGAGCTGGAAAACGTTGAATGCTTCGATGCTGCAAACTTGAAAGTTGTAGCAAAATAGACTACCTCTTCCCACAGGAGCAGCGTTTCGCAGGCGTCAAATTCATATTCCAGTGGCTCGTAGATTTTAGATTGCCTCCTTAACATATTTCTATGTCGTGCACAAGTGTGTTTATAGTCCTACTGTGAAGCATTCCACTAGGAACTGTAGTGTTCGTCAGCGAATTGTTGTTAACAAGCAAGTAGCAAGAAAAAAAATTGAAGAAAGCACAACATGAGTTTGATAAAACCACTGTAGTGTTTGACTCCTCGGAATCCATTTTTTTTATGTTCCCATGCGCTCCACGTGGTTGTGGTAGTATAAAATGGCGCAGTTTCCAGCCTAACTCTCACTCCTCTCTAGTGTGTTTCTTATAAGATCATGGCTCTCACAGCAGCTCCAAAGTTCTACAGCATCGAGTCAGTTGCTTATCCTGGCTACTATGTTACTCAGCAAGGCACCCAGATTGTTCTCAAGTCCAAGGACGCGCTCAATCCCTTCCAGGTAATCCGTGATCCAGATCTCGAACTTATCAAGATCACGTAGAACTGATCAAAGTTTTTATCATCTTGGTTTTGATGGGTAACTCTTCTGCAGCTGTGGTACAGGGACGAGTCATGGCAGTTCCTGACCCAGGAGATCAGTGACCTCTCTGCGTTCGTGTTTATAAACCACGGCTCCAAGAAAGCTCTCCGCTCCCAGGAAATCGCAACTTCTCGACACTTTGCCAAGGTATAGCATCACTGCAAGTTTGTCTCACTTAAATACGTTTGCTCAAAATGAAATGAAAGGCTACTGTTCGAGACTATGATCCGGCTGTCGAGGACGATTCTCTCCTCTGGTCTGTTAGCCGAAGCTCGGACGATCAAGTTTCGATCACAATGACTGGGAATTCGTCTGTGTTCTTGAGCCACACTTCCTCAAGTTCCAACTTCAAAGACGGGGTACCGGTGGTGACATCCACCAGCGGTGGAAGCTCCCGGTGGAAGCTCGTCACTTACGGTAATCCTCTGGACTTGTGGCCAATTCCCTTTGATCTTCTCGTTGTGCTGCACAGAGCCTTCTCAAGTGTACAGGATTCTGTGTCACTGGTTTGGGCAGTACTTGACTTGGAAGCAGCAAAATGTGGACGTAACTTTCAAGGATGCAATCAAGCACAACGACGAGACAAACGTGGTGGCTGTTAGTCCAAACAACATTTCTCTCGACGGCATGGTTTGTAACTTTGATCTGACACTATCATCTTGGATCTCAAATGTGTTATCATAATAGATATGGTACAAGGTTCCTGCCGGAGGCCGAGACGATACTACGTACTTCACCTCGTTCATCCTCATAAACAAGGTGACTGGTTTAGCACTGAAAGGGTCGACAAAGCCGGGAGACAAGGTACTCTTTGAAAACTTTGAGGAACTTTGCAAACTAAACTTGGACGATCGTCGCAGGTGCTCTTGACTCAATATGATCCTCTCGACTACGGTTTCGTGTGGTCTGAGAACCGATTCCAGGCTTCAAACACGGACTATCTCGCAATCAATCTGGATGGAACAAACTTGCAGTGGGCTCTGCAGAACGATGATCAGTACCAGAACAGTGCGTGGTACCATCCTCTCACGCTCCGCCCGGCATCTGCAAACCAAGGATATCTTGAGCAGCAGGCCTGGAAATTCAATCCAGTGGTGGCAGGCAGTTAACCATGAACCATGCTGTACTCATTACCAGTTTTCTTCTTGCAAATAAAACTCCCTGTTTGATTATGATCGGCTCGATCATCGTCTCCGCAAACACGATAATCTCAGGCTAATCTCCGGCAAGATCGCCTCAGCTCCCAGAATCTTCGAGATGTCCCGCGACTTCGTAAGCCCAAAGCGGCGATGTCTAGATTCTTCCACTCCATGCCGGCTCGCAGCGGCGTCTTGTGCTCCAGGCCTGGCCAGAAAGATCTTGTTTGATCGAAGTCCTGTCTCTTGGAACTGTCTCTTGGGTGATCGCGATTTACGGCCAAGCTGGTCGCATCGTCCGGTCCCTCCAGATCATTCACAGCTTCCACTTGAAAGGAATGCTGCCGGATCAAGTCACGTTCGTCTGCGTTCTAGCTGCGTGTAGCCACGCTGGTCTGCTCGAAGTTGCGTACGAGAACTTCTGCTCCATCACTGTGAACTACGGGCTTTCCTTGCTCGGAGATCACTGCCGCTGCATGGTTGGTCTCCTCGGATGCTCTGGCCAGCAGGAAGAGGCCGACGCATGCCATCGCAGCCGGTGCCTGGACGAGCCTGCTAGCTTCTTGCCGGATCCATAGTGACGCACGGCGAGCTGCCAGAGCCGGGCGGTATGCTAAAGCGCCAGTTTTGCGTCCTCGTCGAGAGTCACTATTTCCCATGGCTGCGTTGCTCCTCCTGCTGTGGTCTGATGCACACTAGGTCCTCGAGCTTGTTGCCGTCGATCTTGTACATGGTGACGCCTTCCATGGCGCGGTAATGGTGTTGAGCTTGACTCCTCAGGGAGTTCACGCTTGTTTTCTCCCACTTTGCGTAGTTTGAGTTCTTGCGGGTCTCGCTCATGTCTTTTGATCCTGACAGGCGTCCATTTCGAGATGAACTTCCCCATACTTTGCAGTTCTTGAAAGCTCCATGGTCTTTGCCAGGCTTTCGTTTGAGTCCCATTGCTGCGTAGTAGGCTGCGTTTACTGTCGCTCGGGTCGGAATGACCGACCAGTCTTGCTTTCTGGCTTCTCGCATTGGAGAATGCAGCCTCATTGTCTGTATACACGGAGACTGTCAATGATAATCCATAGTCGTTCTTCTTACCCCGAGGCACTCCAACAGTTGATAGTAGGCTCTGCCTTGTAGTGGATTGTGTCCCTTGCGAGGAGCCGAGAAGTAACGAGTCCTATAGATGAAAAGAATGGTACAATGATAAGAAGTTGGAAGAAGTGTGAGTCAATACCATTCCGTGTAGCCTGGATCCACCGTAAAACCATACATATCCACCGAGTCACACATTGACAAGGCGAGCTCCAAAGACTTAATGCCTGTCCCTTTCGCTCCCCGACGGAAAACTACACCTTGGAACAAGTAGACAGGATTCGGAAGAAGCTGTAAAAGATAAAACTCAGTTAGCAAACAGCATAGCAAGCGTCAAAGGCCCTATTACTTTTATTTTAGCGTTGAAGTCCCGATGTATAACACTCTTGATAATCAACACTTCATCATCTGCAAAAATCCTCTTTTGCATTAAGCCAGTACTTCGTTCATAGACTTCTAGTACGTACCAGATCCCTTTGCAACCTCAAGCAGGTTTCTTACTACTCCACGAGCCATCAATCGAAAACTCCGTTTCATGCCAACATGCTTTGCGTATTTCTGTGAAAAGAAAGCAACTTTTGCGAGCTCAGTAGTACGCAACCTTTGTGAGGTGATTACCGTGGTCACTGGTGCCTCATTGTCTCGGATGACAATATCGTGAGCATCTATCTCCTTTCCAAACTCCGTCTTTAAAAGGTCTCCCGAGTTCCCCACCACCGCACAGGTCCTAAACTGGCGCGGCCAAAACGGTGGCTTTGGCGGTAGTATCAACTCGAGATGTTCTTCGCACAGGCTTCGATTGGAACAGTTAGCTGCACCCCTGCACAACTAGATTAAAAACTTCCATCAACATCAAGCTTAGCTTACAGTTGAGCTATTCGTTTCGCAGCGTAGTCCATCCACCCATCGGGACGTGCATCCAAATACTCGCGAGTCAATATCGTTGTGACGTTTCGATACTGCAAACTCAAAAGCGTTATTTGAATCAAGAGCAAAATTTGCAGCAAATTACCTGTTCCCACAGGAGCAGCGTCTCGCAGACGTCAAATTCATACTCCAGTGGCTCGTAGATTTTGAACTGCTCATTACGCTGTACCGAGTAAACTTGTAAGCTTCGATCACGCAAAAATATTGCTAGTTACTTACCCAGGTACTATTTGTTCCCTCCGGATATTTCAGCACGATCTTGCAAGCATCCTTCACGGTTGCAGTCAATCCAAGCCCATTTCTCTCCTGTAAAAAGAAAGCATTGAAGCATCACTACTCTCCAACGAAGAAAACAAAGGAAAAAACATATAAGATCGAGAAAACTTACCACGCATTTTTGGACTTGACGCTGGAACGAATCAAGTGTAGAAGCGTCCCGATCTCGCAAGAAAAAGAAAAATCCCGGGCGCTGCAAGCCTACATTTCTCCCGCAACAAAGATCGATCGATCCACATCCAACAATCGCAGCGAGATACCTTCCAAGAAGAAGAGCCCTTGGGGCGCCAGGAACAGGAGGCAGATCAGGGACACCAGCGCCGCAATCGCAAGTGGGAGCGACAGTAGCAAGGCTCGCTGCCGCCGCTGCTGCTTGGGCGGCTGCTTCCACGCCATTTTTCGCCCCCTCCTACGCACGGATCAAGCGAGCTCCTCCCTGTAAACCTAGCTCGGGGAGCAATGCTCAGCTGTCAGATTAAAGCAGGCTCAGTTAATTAACATGTTAATGGAGGTATAGCTCAGCGGCTGCAGTCCGATAGGTCACCAGTTCAATCCTTCGCCAATAAATTCTTCTATCAAAACAAATCTGTCAGCGTTGGTCTTTATAAGCTGGACGCCACCATCGATAACCTTTCAGCCAACGCTACAAAGTCAGTGTAAGAAGTGTAAGAAGTGTAAGGAAGTGGAAGGCAGTGTGAAACACATGGGATAATGCGAGAGAAGCTTGCCACTATATAAATTGGCATACGTTCAAAGAGCTCTATAACTTCACACTCATCCCTTTGGCTTCTCAAAAGCTTTAGTCTTTTCTTAAGAGTTTAGAGACATGGCTCTCACAGCAGCTCCAAAGTTCTACACCATCGAGTCCGCTGCTTATCCTGGCTATTGCATTACTCAGCAAGGCACCCAGATTGTTCTCAGGTCCAAGGACGCGCTCAACCCCTTCCAGGTAAAATCTTTGAAAATCTTTGCCGGTTGTCGATCATCATGGGAAACTCTTGTGCAGCTGTGGTACCGGGATGAGTCATGGAACTTGCTGAACCAGGACTCCGCGTTCGTGTTTGTAAACCACGGCTCTAAGAAAGCTCTCCGGTCCCAGGCACACTCAACGTCTCGAAGCAAGGTAAACAGAAAACAGTATTCATACTATACACTGTTGCTGATCATATGGAATTTTGATGGCAAAAGGCTACTATTGGAGACTATGATCCGGCAGTCCAAGACGATTATCTCCTGTGGCGTATTTCCGGGAGCCACGAAAATCAAGTCTTGATCACCATGACTGGAAACAAGTCATTTTTTCTGAGCCACACTTCCTCAAGTGCTAGCTTCAAGGATGGGGTGCCAGTGGTGACATCCAACAGCGATGGAAACTCTCACTGGAAGCTCGTCACTTACGGTAAGCTCATGAATCATATGATTTGTTCTTCTCGGTTGTGGCTCATATATATGATGATGATGCACAGAGCCTTCTCAAGAGTACAGGATTCTATGCCACTGGGTTGGGCAGTACTTGACTTGGAAGCAGCAAAATGTGGATGTAACTTTCAAGAATGCAATCAAGCACAACGACGAGACAAATGTGGTGGCTATTCATCCAAGCAACGTTCCTCTCGACGGCATGGTTTGTACTTTTGTCGTTCTTTGTAATCTTATCTCATTCTATTTGATTACATATAGACATGGTACAAGGTTCCCGCTGGAGGAAGAGATGATACCACGTACTTCACCTCGTTCGTTCTCATAAACAAGGTGACTGGTCTTGCTCTCAAGGGGTCAACCAAGCCGGGAGACAAGGTAACTAGTGCACACTGTTGAAAACTTGAAGAAGTTTGCAAACTAAACGAATTGGATGATCATGGCAGGTGCTCTTGACTCAATATGATCCTCTCGACTACGGTTTCGTGTGGTCTGAGAACCGATTCCAGGCTTCACTCACGGACCATCTCGCGATCAATCTGGATGGAACCAACTTGCAGTGGGCTCTGCAGAACGACGATCAGTACCAGAACAGTGCGTGGTATCATCCTCTCGTGCTTCGCCCGGCATCTGCAAACCAAGTATTTAATACGCAGCAGGCCTGGAAATTCAATCCAGTGGTGGCAGGGAATTGACTATCAGCCATGTTGTATACATAAGGGACACGCTTACCACTTTTCTTCTTGCAAATAACAAGACTTTTCACGGGAAAAAGAAGCTGAGCACTCCCCATTTGTTTCCTTTTCCCATGGAAGCCATGAGTTTTCGTTCATTTCCAGTGTCTGCAAGGATCGACGATTTAAGATAAAACAAAAACATTATGACTATCGACTATCATTCCATATAGACCATAAAACCATACATATCCACCGAGTCTAGAATTTACTACGTACCAGATCCCTTTGCAACCTCAAGCAGGTTTCTTACAACTCCACGAGCATCAACCGAAAACTCCGTTTCATGGCAACATGCTTTGTGTATTTCTGTGAAATGTAAAATAAATAAATAAATCAACTTTTGTGAGCTCTCAGTAAGATGCAAGCTCTAGATGATTACCGTGGTCACTGGTGCCTCATTGTCTCAGATGACAATATCGCGAGCATCTATGTCCTTTCCAAACTCCGTCTTCCAAGTTTCCCACCTGTCTCAAACTGGCGCGGCCAAAACAATGGCTTTGGCGATAGTATATGTTCTTGGAACAGTTAGCTGCACCCCTGCACAACGATATAAAAAACTTCCATCAACGTGAAGCTTAGCTTACAGTTGTGCTATTCGTTTCGCAGCGTAGTCCATCCAGCCATCGGGAAGTTTCCGATGCTGCAACCTCAAAGTGTTACTTCCAGAGCAATGAAGAGCAAGAAAGACCGATCAATTCACATCCAACAATCGCGGCAAGATCTTGCCTCACCTTCGCAGATCAGGGACGCCAGCGCCGCAATCGCTGCCGGCTTCTTCTACGCCATTTCTCGCTCCCTCCTCCCTCGCATTCTCTGTCAACCTAGCCAATCGCCTGCAGTCCGATAGGTGACTAGTTCGATCCTAGTTGCCTCCTTATCCGATGAATCCCATGCGCTCCACGAGGTTGTGGTGGTATAAAATGGGCCTAGATCTCAGAGTTACTCTAGATCTTAAGAATGGAACCTCTCACAGCAGTTCCAAAGCTCTACACCATCGAGTCCACTGCTTATCCTGGCTACTGCATTACTCAGCAAGGCACCCAGATTGTTCTCAAGTTCAAGGATGCGCTCAATCCCTTCCAAGTATCAATCTGTATCAATCCAGATCTAGCATCTTGGTTTTGATCTCTTGTGCAGCTCTGGTACAGGGATGAGTCATGGCAGTTCCTGGGCGAGGATAACAGTGACCTCTCCGCGTTGGTGTTTATAAACCACGGCTCCAAGAAAGCTCTTCGCTCCCAGTCATCCTCAACTTCCCGGAGCATTGCCAAGGTATATAAATCACTACAAGTTTGTCTCACACTTGAATTTTTCTCTATCCAGCTTACTGTTGGAGATTATGATCCGGCAGTCGAGAACAATTCTCTCCTCTGGTCTATTTCCGACGATCAAGTCTTCGTCACAGAGACTGGGAATTCGTCCGTGTTTTTGAGCCACACTTCGTCTTCGAGGTCCAGCTTTAAAGACGGGGTGCCAGTGGTGACATCTGCCCAGGGTGAAAACTCTAGGTGGAAGATCGTTGCTTATGGTAATCCTCTAGACTTGTGGTCAATTCCTTTTGATTTTCTCGTTGTGCTGCACAGTGCCTTCTCAAGTGTACAGGATTCTGTGTCACTGGTTTGGGAATTACTTGACTTGGAAGCAGCAAAATGTGGACGTAACTTTCAAGGATGCAATCAAGCACAACGACTAGATAAACGTGGTGGCTGTTAGTCCAAACAACATTTCTCTCAACGGCATGGTTTGTGACTTTGTCTGATACTATCATCTTGGATCTCATTCGTATTATTGTAATAGGCATGGTTCAAGGTTCCTGCTGGTGGCCGAGACAATACCACGTACTTTACCTCGTTTATCCTAATAAACAAGACTGGTCTAGCACTCAGGAGACAAGGTAAGTCCTAAAACTTTTGAAGGACTTTGCAAGCTAAACGAAAGATACCTTTTTCATGGCAGGTGCTCTTGACTCAATTTGATCCTCTCGACTACGGTTTTGTGTGGTCTGAGGACCGATTCCAGGCTTCAAACACGGACTACGTGGCCATCAATCTGGATGGAACGAACTTGCAGTGGTCTCTGCAGAACGACGATCAGTACCAGAACAGTGCGTGGTATCATCCTCTCGTTCTTCGCCCAGGATATGTTGAGCAGCAGACCTGGAAATTCAATCCAGTGGTGAACAATGTTTAGCTGGGACTTTTATGTTCATAAATGAGATGAGAAGATGCTAGATCTATGCATGAATGTTCATATGAATAATTACACTTCTAAATGTTTAATCAGCTGCAGTATGATCAATATGTCATCAGTTTTTCCCAACAAAACGAATGTGTTTTAGGTTGACAAAAATGGAGCTAGGTGAGCCAAGACGGTTTACTAAAAAATATTCTCTATTAGCGTTCTTCAAATATGCTAAAAATATTCTTAAAATTTGAAATATTTTGTCATTATAGCTATATATTAAATCATATATTAATAACAACTATACCTTATGTTGTAACTATAAACTATTTTATAATATAAGATATTATCATAATTACAAATTATATCTCAATCCTTACAAAATCCACACAATCTATACATATAGAAGTATTATGTTGCTTTCTCCTTCTCTCTCACTTTTTTGCCTTTCTTTCTTCATTCTCTTGTGTATGATCATTGATAATGAAAGTTGACTTCTCTTTAATACACTTTAATACACTAAAAGATCGAATGGCTGTGAGTGGCACTACCTAAACCCAGAATTTAGGGTTGCCCGGAATCATTTAGAATTGACACTTCTATGGTTGTTACATCATAGCTCAATGCTTCTACTTTTGGAATTGACCAGCATTAGAATTACTCTAGAGCTTCCAAGATCGAGACCAAAAAAGTAAGTCAGGCATTGACATTGAGTGCAATTTTCCTTTTTTCTTGCAGTTTCAATGTGACAAACAGGAAGAAGCCAGTCATAGGTGTCAGTAGCTAGAATGCTGGGAGAAGGTGTCTTGATGGGCTGGCCACACAATCAATAATAGTGGCCACTAATTTGGCCCTAAACCACAGTAATCTGGCCTTAATAGACATTTGAGACGTGTTTGTTTGGGTTTGTGGACACCATTGAGCGGCAGAGCTGGAGCCAGAGCCAGCCTTCAACACGGCCAGAATCATCAGAGCCATGTTCTTCCGTAAGAGAGAACAAGCCCAAGGTGAGTTCTCAAAGCCATAGCTTGCAAACCCTATCCACCTCTCACAACCCAAGCGTCATTGTATTCTCCAAAACTTTGACGAGCTTCCCATTGAGCTCCTTGCCTTCTCCAGCTGCCAGGCCCTTGAAAGCAGCAGCATAGCTTGCATCATCTGTTACACAGTTGCCCACATCCTCATCAAGATGCATATACCTCCTAGTGCCTACTGGCTAAAACTTGAACTCTTCTAATGTTGCAAAAGCCTCCTTTAACTTGCCTCTTGTACCCTTGTTTCTGCTGTGCCACTTTGAGATTCTATAGCTGCTGGTGGTGGAATCTCTCCAACATGTTCTTCTTCATTTATACATTCTAAATATTGCATTGCTAGCCTTCAAAACATCCCCTCTTCCCTTGAAAAAGACTTCCCATCTTCTATGGAGTAAATTCAAAAGATTCCAAAAAATCTAAAACACAAACTTGTCATTATTGAAAATGACATGAATTGATATGCCCTTTCACAAAACACGTAAGAGGTGTCCTCTAGCAACTCTTCCAATGGTTTGTATGTGTGCCTCTCATTGATATCCATTCAATATGTATAAGTGGATCATCCAAAATTGTATTTGTAGCAGATGGATTGGAGCAAGGTGAACATTAAATTTTTCTCTTGAGTTGCCCAGGGCCACTATGTTCCCAGCCAATTGCAAGATTCCCTTGCCCAGCTCATCAAGCCTTTTCTTGCATCAAAACTCTTCTCTGGCTGCTCCAACTCTTTGGAGATGTCCTCCAACAGCATAGCTAATTGGAGGTACTCACCATGCATGAAAGGTTTGTGCTTTGGTTTTTCATGTGCAGTGAAAGAGTCTACAGAATTTAGCCAAGCTCTCCCACTCAAGCAAACAGTTCAGATATTCTTCAACACACTTAGATAGCAACAACAAGGCTTGAATTGCAATTGTTCGAAAAGATTTTACTAAAATGAAAACACACTAATTCCTAAAACCAAAGTGTTGCAGTTTTCCAAGAAGCAAACCTGACCTCCCATCACTCCAGCAGCACCTCCAAGATTGAAATTCTTGAATGATGCTACCATGTTTAACTCATGACATCCTTTTTACATGCTTTTAGCGTATTGATCTTATGCTAAACTCTTGAGATCTCCAATTCTTTCCTATCAAAATTCTGATCTCCCACTACAACAATGATGGTTTGCTACCACCTCCATACTTTGCTAGTGAAGCTTCTAGACCTCCCATGTTGATCAAACCATAGTTTACACTCTCCAACCTTGATCTTAACAATAAGATACAAGAATAAATAAAAGAAAACATGACAAAAAGAAACTGTATGCTATTGACTTGAACCTTTAAAAATAGTATGCGGCATAGTTTTGAGCTTAATCTCAGTCCAGCTTCTATATTCTCTGGAATGTTTCTAAGATTTTAAGAATGGCTCTCATAGCAGCTCCAAAGTTCTACAGCATCGAGTCCATTGCTTATCTTGGCTACTTCATTACTCAGCACGGCACCCAGATTGTTCTCAAGTCCAAGGACGTGCTCAGTCCCTTCTGATCATCAAACTAAATGATCTTTGTCCTTGTGCAGTTGTGGTACAGAGACGAGTCTTGGCAGTACCTGAGCAGGATGTCACTGGCCTTCTCTGCTCCCAGTTATCCTCAACATCTCGGAGCGTTGTCAAGGTATAAAGTACTGCATGCTTGTCTCACACTTCATTGGTCTAAATGAAATCTTCAAGGCAACTGTTGGAGACTATGATCCGGTAGTTGAGGACGATCCTCTCCTCTGGTCTGTATCCGCAAGCTCGGACGATCAAGTCTCCATCACAATGACTGGGAATTCGTCCGTGTTCTTGAGCCACACTTCTTCAAGTTCCAGCTTTAAAGACGGGGTGCCAGTGGTGACATCCACCCATGGTGGAAACTCCCAGTGGAAGCTCGTCACTTACGGTAAGCTCATGAATCATATGACTTGCTCGTCTCGGTTATGCTTATATAATCTCTTTGTGCCACAGTGCCTTCTCAAGATCACACTGGTTTCGAAATTACTTGACTTGGAAGCAGCAAAATGTGGACGTAACTTTCAAGGATGCAATCAAGCACAACGACGAGACAAACGTGGTCCAAACAACATTTCTCTTGACGGCATGGTTTGTAACTTCGATCTGACACTATCATCTTGGATCTCACATGTGTTATCATAATAGATATGGTACAAGGTTCCCGCCGGAGGCCGAGACGATACCACGTACTTCACCGTTCAGACTGGTTTAGCACTCAAAGGGTCGACAAAGCCGGGAGACAAGGTACTCTTCGAGGAACCTTTGCAAACTAAACTTGGACGATCATCGCAGGTGCTCTTGACTCAATATGATCCTCTCGACTACGGTTTCGTGTGGTCTGAGAACCGATTCCAGGCTTCAAACACGGACTATCTCGCGATCAATCTGGATGGAA